AAATCCGGTAATTAATCGAATAAATAATTGAATAATTAACATTCAATTGCCAACAATATTTATTTCAAAATGGTCAATTTCGCAAAAATTCGAGAAATCGAGCTTACGTGATTAAGAGAAACTGTTGATACATATCCCATGATAAGAGAGATATTAATTAATTTAAAAATCTTACCAATTAAAAGTTTAATTAATTTTTTGATTGACTTAAGATTATTAATGTAAATATAAATATATAGAATAGAATTGATCAAATTAATAGTTAATTTTAATTGTTCCGGTTCTCATGGCATTTCCAGTTCCGCATGTGCTTGATTTTTTGCTCATAGATTTTCTAATTCTGCGGAATATTCTACATATTTTTATAACATGATCAAGTTAACTGGATGTTTATTTGTTTTACATTATTTACTCATTGTTTACAAAATTTATATTCAGAGAAAAGGAATTAAAAGTTTTTAAATTATTAGACAAAATTAAGATGAAGTTCTATGTATCAGTTTTCTACAGATAAAGGTAAACAAATGAATATAAACTTGACACATTTTTATATATGATTAAATTATATATATATATATATATATATATATATATATATACCTATGTATTGTTAAATTATATTTTATAATTAACACATACATATATATACACACAAGTGCATATTCCACAAAATAAAAATTAAAGTTATGTAATGAGATTTCTTTCAGATAATATATTCGTATAATATGATTAAATTTCGATACGTTTTTTTTCTTTTTCACATGTTTGTAGGAAAACGAAGTGGATATGACAAAACCATGACATTATTGGCCCAGAATTCGAGGCTCATGACCGCGCTATATTAAACTCTTACCACAGAGACCCTGTTCGCCGAATGCCTCGCAAATAGTCGGCGTCGTCATTTTTAAGTCGGGCGTTACGCTATATATGCGATAAGTTACCTTAACATTCAAGCCTATCGTTGATTAGGTTGCGATCATCTGTTGCGAACAAAAATCGTTTTTTCCCTACAATTGAAATTCCCATCGGCTTATGACGAAGCTAGCTTTATGTGACTTTTGCTTCTGATGTCAATGAATATGCAATGGATATGTTTTTTACTGAGCGACTGAAATATTGCCTTGTTTAAAAATTACAAAGAACGTGCGTACTTCTACGAAGCTCTTGCATTATATGTGATTATATGCGATTATATACAATTATTTGAAAAAAACAGTTTAATTATTATTATTATTAATTGAAATATTATAAATTACTTAATAGCTCATATAATGGATTATTGGAATAGATGATTGAAAAAATAATTAAGTAGTTAATAAGTAGTTAATGCAATATTTATTGCAATTTTTAATGCAATCAAGTCCAATATCTATAATTATTACTAAATAAAAATCTCTTGGCATTTATTGTGGAAATATAAGAATAATAATTTAATCTATTGAGATTTAAAGTTTACTCATATTCTCTCCCTCTTTCTTCTTCTTTTTATATCAGCAGATAGATTATTTATAATAATCTGAAAATAGTAAATTTAATATTTCCTTTATTCTGTCACGGTTGCGGCTTACCGGAAACGGCATCTTGCAAAGGCAAGGACAAGCCGCACGTGGTGCTCTGCTGAGTGTCAAACGACTTCGGTTCATCCGGATGTACGAGTATATCCTGGACTAGCTGGGAAGATACGGCTGCACACACGTGACGAAAATAGAGCAGACAGGGGAAATAAATCACCGTTCACTCGTCTGAGCCACAATCGAGGCCTTCAATCGCGTCTAGCTGTCGTGAATAGCTTGTAAAAACTAAAGTTACTAAAATTTTTACAAATAGAAGCTATCCACAAAATGAGATTATTAATATTACATTGTGTATAATTACACATTATTAACCTAGGTCAGGTTATACGTAATAATACGAAAATATTATAAACAATATGATACATTGATGAAACTAAATTATTAGTTATTAAAGGAGGGAAGCAAACCTTACTTTCTCTTACTTTCTTCGTAATTGAGTTAAAAGCTGAAAGCTTCCAATTTAATCTAATTAGATAAGTGTGTAATAAGAAAGTAAACATTTATATATTTCGAGTTTGAAATGAAAAAAACTGATTTATAATTCTAATCCGCAGAATTTACAATTTTTCCATTTTGCAAATCTTGAAAAATTAAAATGTCTGTTTTACTTATACATTTCTTGTATCTTTTTCTTATTATACTAATATCAAAATCAGTAATATTAAAAAAAAAAATTTTATTTTATTTCAAAAAGAATACCATCACATACTTAAATTAAATTGTTATCGATAATTGCTAATAGATAATTATTTACATTACATTAAACAATTCACTATTATTGCTAGCGTAGATAATTAATA